GTGTGTGTGTGCGTGTGTGTGTGTGTGTGTGTGTGTGTGTGTGTGTGTGTGTGTGTGTGTGTGTGTGTGTGTGAGAGAGAGAGAGAGAGAGAGAGGTCTATTGCCTTCTGGATGCATCGTCTTTTGCAGTATTATTTATTGCTCGTCTCCCCTGTCAGGCTCATTTTGGGGTGTGTTTTGTCTTCCTCAAAGCAGGGCGCATGCTTTCGTTCCCGGAGGACCGCTTGTGGGTGAAGAATGGGGGGGTAAGCAATCTCTGCCTTTCACCATTTTGAGTAATCGGGGTGAATTTTGGGGTTAACAAGGGCAGGGACTGAGAGAACGAAGTTTCTCTTACTGTTGATTCCAATGGCCGGGACACTTATACGAGGGGGGCAAGGATAGAGAGAACAAAGCTTTTTGTACTGTTGATTGCAATGACTGACCCATTTGTGCACATTCGGTCCATAATCCATGCTAGGTTCTTTTTTGGCTTTGTTTTTCTGGCCAAAGCATTGTTCACCCTTTTTTCCCATGGGAGACAAATATCTCATTTTATCTGCACTCCCCCTATTGAAAAACTCGATGATCAAAATTATCGAAGAGCTTTGGAATCGGAACCTTTGTCTTCGCACATCTAATTCGCACATGTCAACCTTTGCCTTTCCTTCTTTTGTTTTTCTCTTCTCTATTTCAAAGCACTTGTACCCATCCACATTTTATCACTTTCTCCCTTTTTAACCACTTGTGTGAATCTTGAGCCAACCCTCACCTGGACTCAGGTGTGTGAGTAGGTTGGGGATAGCAGAGCACTTGAGAGCTAGAGTTTCACACAAGGTCATTAGCCTTTTCTGGATAAAAGCAAACTTTATCTGAACGGAATTGTCATGGCATCATCATCATAATTATCACATCATCATCATCATCATCATCATCATCACTATTATCAGTGCTGACATCAGTGTAATGAACCCAGTCTGGAGGATACTCGTCAAGTGTCGCAGTACAAGATAACTCAGCGCTGAATAATGTCTCCAATAATCATGTATTGTGATCCGTGAAACAATGTCTTGTAACCAGTAGACGAAGGAGAGGTGGGGGAGAATAGACTTAGAGGGTGGAAGAATAAGTATCCATCAATGACCACATAGATAGTAGCTTTCGTTTCCCTCTCCTTCTCCGGGCCTCCCCTCGCCTCCACGTCAGCAAACAGTGTCCAAGAAACGATCCTGACAGAGTCTGATCACATCAAGTGCCACGTGGCACAGTTCTCTCATGAAGACGTTACAGCAGCGCGCAGTATCGACACCAGCAACATGTAAGCATCCTCTCTCCCTCTCAGATAGTCCACAGATCCTGATCTCCCTCCTTGTCGTGTCCAACTGAGCAATGAAGACAGTGTGGCGAATGCCACATCAGCGATGGTAGACAGCGTGGCATGTGCCATGTCAGCATGTAGACATCGTGGCATGCACCACGTCAGCAAGCCAGAAGACAGCTGGCCCCAGAGCAAGAAGGTGCCAGCGCTCGTGCAGTAGCCTCGCGTCGTCGTCGCACAGTGCTAGTGTACAGCCAGCGTCAAGCCAGCAACAAGCCAGCCTCAAGCGAGCAACAAGCCAGCGTCAAGCCAGTGTCAAGCCAGCGTCAAGTCAGCAAGGCAAGACTGAATCTCGACTCCCGGAGGCAGGGGCCCTTAGTAGTGTTGACAAGGTTGACCTGCCTCTGTTCTTTCACCCACGGAGGCCCGGATTGACTGACAGCGGACAGCCTCGATCTCGTACAGTTGCACACTTCCACTTGTCCCAAATGCTGTCTGGATACCTGCATACCAACAAGTGTGTGTGTCTGATCGGCGGCCTGGGCTGGGTCCATGCAGAATTTGACTAGTGGGCGCTGTACAGTTGACTTTTAGTCAACTGCCGGGCGCTGGGCCCCTGAAGCCTCTTTCAGGGGTTCTTTTCCCCTGTTCGCAGTGCAGCCGCAGGCCGTTGTCAGGCCTGCGGGTGGCCCTTAGACCAACAACGAGGCATACTGGAGCGGGTCATTGCATCAGCATCGGCATAGGCGCCTGCATCAACGTTGGCATCAATGCGGCATTGCCGTCAGCGTCACAATCATCGTCATCAGCAGCAGCATGGCACACGTGGTTCCAAGTGGAACCGCCCGAGCTCCAGGCAATGGAGAAGCTGCAGAAGCTCCACCAGATTGTGATGCTGATAGCTTCAACATCGTCATCAGGGTCACAATCATCGTCGTCATCATCATCACCAGCAGCAGCAGTACCACGTCCTGTAAACAGGCAGTTGCTCACCGTTAACTGTCTAAAGACTCTTAAACTCAACGGATAGCCTGAGATTTCAGCGCTATGTCATTTGAGTCAGCTTTGGTGGTTTAATTTGGATGGGGTGAAATGTGTAGCAATCGTCCATTGTCTTCCGGGTTCATTGGCGAACAGCAAAAATGTGCCATCATTTGTTGTGCTTTGAGCTGGACAAATGGCGATGTGACAGCGGGTCGATTGGTTAGTAGTGTTCCCTACCTACTCCTACGGGTTTCGCGTTTTGCGGCTTTGCCAAGGGAGCAACTGTTTTTGTTTGTGCTTTTTTTTTTCTGCAGAGGGGCCAATAGTTGCACGCCTTTTTGCGAACTCGGACTCTATATTTGTAGCTTTCTTGGCACGCTCTGGCTCCTCGGAGCATGCTGGGGCTGGCTTTTTGTTTATTATGTGAGGCCTCGTGAGCTTCTCAGCAGGCAGCACAGGGCTGGTAGGCTCGGTCAGACCTAGACAGGGGCCCGTAGAGCATGGAATGGACGTAACCGGAAGACTCAAGAATGCAGTGCCTACTGACTGAACAGAGAGACCCGTATCTGGTGTTTAAACCACCAGTATGTTTCCAGCTATTTTGTTCCAACGCGGCGGCTAACACGCCGCAGAACCGTGTGTCGGATGCATTGGACAGAAAAGGCTGGTGGCAGCACAGGCAAATCGTGGGGCCGTTGCAGTTCAGGCTATCCGCCGCTTTTAATCCTGTTTGCGTTGATTCATGCGCAGATTTAGGGGAAACGATTTCCGGAGCTTTCACGTCTACACATCTTCACTCTCTCTAGCGTGTAAAGCACCTTTTCCATCTCTAGGTACTCCTAACGCATCAACAACACGACCCGGCATAGATCTTCTTCCAGGAACATCTACGGTCGATCCAGTACGTTTGACAATATCTCCTCCTTTCCTAATGGCGGTATATCACTACCAAAAAAAAAAACACAATTCCTGGCAATGCCTGCACTCTCTCTTTTTTTTTTTTTTTTTTCAGGGTTCAGTGCCATTCCTTTTAACACCACTGGAAAATTTCAAATTTCAAATTTGACCATTTCTCAAGTGTTGCTTGAAAATCTGGTTCGATCCATAAACATGTGCGATTCCATCTCCTACCGAAACCCCTCGACCAGTTTCATCCGCCCATAATTTGGTGTAATTGTTCACAATTCTTTTTGTCCTAATAATGTGGATACTTCAGGTCCAGCAAGTTTCTTGCCTGCATTGCTCGCGTAAAACATAAATCTTGGGTTTATGAAAACGTGCGAAGCCATCACTTCAAAAAACAAGTGATGATTCTAGTACGATCCATCATCGCACGATTTCAAGGATGATTCATATATAAGAATTGACTCAACCCATTCTCAATTGAACTTATAAATAGAAGAAATAACGCGCGCGGGTCAGAACAAGTCAAATAAGGGCGCGAACACCACTCTGGTGACAATGGAATCGAAGAATCTTCTTTTATTAAGTTTTGTATGTCACTCATGGTCGAACTTGGTTTCAACCAACCAAGTGCTTTCTCCTCACCCCTTCATGATAGTGCAGCACCTACCTGCATTTTGTACTCGACTGACAGGCTTGCGGCGCCAAATTTGGTGTCGAGAAAAGAAAAGGAGGATTGGACGTACTGTGAGGCCTATGCCCCTATGAGCCCCTCTCAGGCCCTGCCAAGTATCACGTCGGCCGCCCTAAGTGAAGGCAGGCACGACGAGGGCCTGAGGGCCCC